TGGCTGGGGAGAGGGAGGTCTGGGCCTCCCTTCTGAAGCTGCTGCCCCCGCGACCCGACCTCGGATAGGCGGAAGAAAATGGATGGATGGATGGATGGATGGATGGATGGTAACGTACTACTACTATTGAACCATTTAAGGCAACATTTAGCAGCATGCACCGCATGTTATGAACGATCAGAAGAAATAAGAACCATGAAGCGCAGAGCGAGTGCTTCAGACATTTATTGTGCAGATACTGTCAGGAGTCATAGAAATAAACTTAAAACATTTTATATGAAGACAAGTCTTCCACATCAGAATCTGTCATACAACATCCACATGTTCATAAAGAGTTTTCAGACTTGAAATGTACTTTTATATGTCATCTGTTTAGCATTTAACACAGACCGCCACCCACTGCCACACTACTGTAGGACCTGCAGGTCCTCTGAAGTTTTACATCAGAAAACGCAAGATACTGAGAAAAGAAACACATATTACAAGTTGCACATTTTTAAGTTATTCACAAGAATATATATTTACATTAGAAATACAATGACAACTAGTGTTAGTGCAGAAAATGAGAAATTAATGAGGAAATGTCAGGAATTTCAAAAAGCAAATTGCTCCTTTACAGTACCTCAGTCCTTCAGCCTCCTTCAAGTTAATGTAGGTTTTTAATCATTTTTCCACATCAGCAGACTCGTTTCAGAACAAACACATGATCAACTTTACAGATTTTGTTGAAGCGATTAGATTTTTGTTTTGTTCTTGCTGGTGGGACGGGGCAGAATAAAATAAAACAGGTGAAACGGTTGGTTGGATGAAAACCGCTCACTTAGAAGACAGGTAGATAATAATGATAAGTATGGCGAGCGCGATGGAAATGACTAGGGCGAGGATACACATCTTCTTCCTGGACTTTTGCTGTGAGGAGAGAACGCAGAGATGAGAGGGTTAGTGGGAGGAGCTTCACTTCAGGTGGGAGGGGCTTCACTTCAGGTCTGAACGAGCCTGATGGAGACGGACTCACCTGGTAACGTGCAGCTCGCTGCAGCTGCTCCGCCCCTCGCTCTACGTGAACTTCAGCGTTTTCCACATTTGCCTCGATGCTGTCTGCAGGAGGGAAGGCAAAACCAGGTCATCAGGTGAGAAACATACTCAAGTCTTTGTGTAAATATGAATGAATGAATGAATGAATGAATGAATAAATGAATGAATGAATGAATGAATGAATGAATGAATGAATGATACTTTAAGTCAACAGAAAATTAGGGCCACACAAGATTATTATTTTTTATTACGAGAATAAAGTCATAATTTGAAAATAGTCAATATTACAAGAATAAAGTCATAATATTACGAGAATAAATTCATAATATTATGAGAATAAATTCATAATATTACAAGAATAAATTCATAATTGAATGAATGAATGAATGAATGAATGAATGAATG